GAAACAGTATACTCTGTTATGTCCATTGTACTGCTCATGTCTATAGGCGACGATTACCACTTTCCATCAGGTGGGCCGTCAGCTTGTTTGCCATTCTAAGTTGTATAAAAAAAAACTTTTCTTATTATTACATTCACATATTCGTGTCATTCCGTTGCCATTTTCCTCGTTCCCGTGGGATGCGAAGCCTTCAGAATTCCTTTGTTTCCTTATTGTTGTATCTAACAATTTGTGCTGTATTATATCAAAAGTTTAACTCGTATCACGTTATTCCCTAAACACTGTGATGCTTTGATGATTTCAATGGAATTGTAAAAGTTTAGTAAATTTATATTTCGCTTTTTAAATAACTAGAGAACGACTTTCCGGGAAAGATGCAGAAAGCGGTGCTCTTAGATTCTGCCCGCATTGTACGCCGGTTTCTCTCCCTGGGGCCTGAACCCCGGGGAGATAATAATAATAATAATTAAATTTATTGCCATTCTTCACAAATTATAATGTACATATATTTAATTAATCAATATATTGTGCAGTAATCGTATGCGCCTGGCAATAGGTACAAACTCAGCTTTTGCTGGACTGATGTTCGTTCAGCGCTGATTTTCAGTTTGCACCTACACGGGGCACCGTTTCATTATCAAATATTTATATAGATTGATGTAGATGTTACATAAAAAGTAAAAAAAAAAAAAACAAAAACTAAAATAAACAAGTATAAAAACAATGAGTAAAAGAAAAAAAAACAGATCAAGAATCCAGTATACCAACAAATTAATGACAAGAAAAATCCTTAAAAAGTGATGTTATATATAATTAAGTAATGCTATATTTTAAAAGTATAAATAAATAAATAGCTATAAAAATAAAAAAATAAATTCTATTTTTTTTCCCAAATCATCATCTTCCCACCCTTATCCCTTGGCCTATATTTTTACGACCAGCCACCTACCTGACGTCAACCCTCTTTGGGAATTTATTTCCCCAGTATTATATAATAATAAAAAGCATCAATTGAATATTTTCATTTATTTATATATCTAAGCCGCATTAATTTTTTATAAAACAACTTAATTTTGTTTTTCAAAATGTTTTGATTATTAATTATCTAACTTAATCGTTGTAAAATAATTGACATATGAATTTTGACTAAAATTTGACACACAAATAAGTTTAAATTAATAAATATAGTCATATTTATCCTACTTAGTAGCTATTTTTTTTATGGGTGAAAATGGTATGGTAACCTCGCCTGCGCTAATGGGATACGCTGGCGGAGCACCAGTGAAGGGTGATCGATGAGAATGAAAACAGGCCAGTTAGCCCATCATGATGAATTCATCAGGAATTAACCATGATAGTTTCCAGAGAGAACCGCGAGTAGGTCGACCTGGTTGGATATATTGCTAACAATGGGATTCTCAGTCTCCATTACTAACAATCCCTTTCCCCCCACTTAATAGCTTTTTATTGATAATTCGCTCTAATATTAGGTTTATTTTTCATATATAATGTTTTTTTTGTGATGTTGCCCTCATAGCGTCGGGAAAATTAATATTTGATACCCCCAAGCTCTTTTCACAACGATATGCTTACATCATTAATCATTTTATATAAAAACAACGTGTTAAGGTTTTGTTGTGGTTTCATTAATATAAATGCTCGTTTATGTGGTTATTACATGTAGTTATGGTAGTTTGCCACTTTTATGGATGAGTTTTTAATTAAATTTGTCAATTTTTATAAATGTTTATTTTAATTAAATTTAATCGGTTTGCCACTTTGACGATTAAATTTGAGAACCTGTGTGCATAGTTTAAAGAGTAATGTGGATGACAAAGGAGAGCAGAAATGGAAATTGTTAATATATGTATAATACGAGAAGGAATTTTAGAAGATTAGAGCCGTAAAGAGGAGCCCAAAGTGATTATTAGAGATCAATATATATGGCCTGTACTCCACCAACGCTTATAATTGTTCGTTTAATATAAAATTTATACCTCATTTAAAAAAACTAATTAGGTATTTCGATTATAAAAAGCACATTTATAATTTATTCTCAATTGTTAAATATACTATAAAGTACATACATATAATATATTGGCATATTGCTCCGAAAAACAAATACCCACCCATTCGAACACACATACACACGCACACTCGCACGCACGCCCGAACACACGTACGCGCACATACACTTAGGCAACACTCAGCCTTACACACACACACACACACAACACATACATACACACATCTGCATGAACGCACGCATGCACGTACACACACGCGCACGCTTTCACACACTTAAAAACAGGTCGTTATTCATAAATAAAATTTCCCCATCAATTACTTAATTTCGTAAGTGTAAAGTTATCTAACGTACAAAAGACCCACAATTCAGTAACAAACGTATCGGTCCGGGCCGCGGCTTGGCTGGCCTTGCCCGACGGAATTGGATTAAGTCGGAATCCAAGTGAATAGGCAGCAAAACGTCGGCATTGTTCGATAACAAGTAACGACGGGTATAGTTCAGGACTAGGGGAGAGCATTGTTAGTAATGGGACTAGCGGCCCCATTGTTAGCAATATATATATGTATATATAGATATCAGATCGACCTCCATACGATTCTTGCTGAACAATGTCATGGTTCATCCCTAGTGAATTTATCAAGATTGGTTTAGCTGATCTGACTTCATCCTCACCTATCATCCTTCAAAAACAAATAAAAATTATTTGAGAAGGGGCTTTCTCAAATAGTAGGTCCGTTTGCTAGCAGTATACTCGAGGAATAACTACATGGGACAGATATAAGAAACACTAGGTGTCATATCGTTTAGGGAGGTCAAGGATATGGCCTGGGATAGAGCTGGCTGGAAGAAGATGCATAAATTAGTTGCACCGACAAGAGGAAACTCTTAAATGAAAAAAAAATTGTTATATACCATAATTCTTTATTACAACAAAAACATAAAAGAGTAAAATACAATAGCATAAAGTACAGATTAAAATATATGACATAAAGAACACAAAAAGCGGTTTTATGGCTAGGGCAATTTATATTTTTTCTTTATAGCACAAGGCGTCTTCTACCAGCTAACCGTGATACCAGCTAAGCTAATATAAGCTGGGGGGAAAGGGATTGTTAGTGATGGAGACTAAGAATCCCAATCCTAGCAATATTTCTAACCAGGTCGATCTCCACGCGATTCCCTTCCCCCTGGAAACTATCATGGTTAATTCCTGATGAATTCATCGTGATGGGCTAACTGGGCTGTTTTCATTGTCATTGATCACCCTTCACTGGTGGGGACCAACGTATACCGTTAGCGCAGGCGGGGCTACCATTCCATTTTCACTTATGAAAAAGATATCAGCTACTGATTCATACGGGCGAAACCGTGGGAGCAAGTTTTACAAATATAAAGCCCGTTGTATGTAAATATTAAACAAAAAAAGTTTTTTTTATGCAATTTAAAATAGCAAACAAGCTGACGGCGCACCTGATGGAAAGTGGTAACCGTCACCTATAGACATGAGCAGTACCATGGACATAACAGTGTATACTGTTTCGCCCATGATACCCTCCATGCGTTGCAATTCCTGAGGACTCAGATGTTATTCCTATGTACCCTATAAATTCACGCCATATCCCACCCTTCAAACCGAAACACAGCCATGCAAACACAACTGCTTCGCGGCAGAAACACGAATGGGACAGAGGTACCCAAGCAATCGACTTTTGTACAAAGTCTCAAAGTCATGGGACACAGAGGCGACATATATACATATATGTACTTATGTATGTTTTAATGAAATACATAATGCCCGCGACGAAAGTTAAAATGAATTACCTACCCTAACATTTCACACTAGCCAAGGTTCCTGTGATAAATAGCCGAGAGAACAATGAATTTTCCCGCCCTACTTTCGGGTGCGGAACCCCAAAAATACGGACGAAAAGTCATTACTGCTATATCACTGGCAGGTCAAGGTCAATCCTTGTTAACTATCTCTTTCTCGCATTCCACCCGTCTCCTTTGTGTGCCTTCCATTTTGTAGCTTACAAATGTTATGTCTCGATTTCACTTTCTTTCTTGTATTAATATTTATTTTTATAACAAAGGATAGAACAGACACGTTATTTGAATAGCTCTATGCCGTATTAGGATCGCTTTTGTTTTTTTTTTTTTATGGACAATGGACTGGCAACTCTGGAATGTTGGATCTGACGAAGATTACATATAAAGATCCGTCAGTATTCTACCACTATGACGATTTATATCTATACTTATAACAAATCTGTAGAGAGGTCAATTCTGTACATGAAATATATTTACAAAATAACTATCAAGGGGTGATTATTGAGCGATACTGATGCTAAAAATGCATATATATATATATATATATATATATATATATATATATATATATATATATATATATATATATATATATATATATATATATTTATACAGAATTGACCTCTCTACAGATTTGTTATATATATATATATATATATATATAACAAATCTGTAGAGAGGTCAATTCTGTACATGAAATATATTTACAAAATAACTATCAGAGGTATATACATATACATATACATACATACACATATAAATATATAATGGAACATAGAGACGGTTGTTGTTCATACATTTATGATTTGATTATTTATTTACATGCATACTTACTATATACATATACATACTTAACAGACAAGATATACCCATATAGATACATACAATAACAATATAATAACATAATATTGAGGGTATTTAGTAATCACATTCTCGTAAATTAACTACATCCACTTGTTGAGTACAAAATGTTTTCAAATTTATAATCTCAGAAAACAAACTATTTAAAAAAAAAACTAACGACAATTGTCAGAAAACAAAATTTTCTCGACAATGTAATGATATTCACCAATAACAAAACTTCTCTTAAAGTCCACGAATAACAAAGCTAATAAGCAAATATGTATATCTCTTGTTACAGGCGAGCGTCTCATCCAGTACGCTTCAGAGAACCTGGTGACAGAGATCCTGATACACCCCCAGATGAATACACTGATGCAATGCATGAGGAACCTCCTCAGCTCGTTCACCAGGCACCGACACCTGGTACACGCTGGTTATACATTCGCCGGGAATGGCTCCTGGATAATGCAGGTACGTTAAGGCATGTAAAATGAAGAGGGAAATTTGACATCTGCATGGAATTATATTGTAATATTTTTTCCTACATAAGTCCTTTATTCCTCTCATTTACTGATTTCCTTTACGCATTTCCAACGTTCCCTTCCTTTTTTCCTCAATCTTTTCCTCCAAACCGTAGGTGGCGGAAACCACCAACAAATGCATTCCCAAAGAGGATTGACGTTAGGCAGGCGGCCGGTCGTAAAACTAGAAGCCAAATCCTTTAGTGATATGGATAAAACCATATTACGCCGACCCCAAATAATAATTGGGGTAAGGGTAGGAAGATGATAATGGAATTATATTGTAAATAAGTTTCACGTGGTTTTGAGTTACCAATTTGAGAAATTGTACATACAGCCACCTTTTGTCATCGCACCACTTGCCATCGACAGAGAATTCATTCTCAAATGCTAGAACCTAAATGGTCGTGAACAGCATGGTTTCAGATGAGTTTCCTTCCACGAACGTTCAGGCTGTAAGATCTCTATCGAGGTTTTCCTTCGAGACTACAGCATGGAGTTCTTTAAAAAAGGTGTAGTAAGATTTCTTCAGGGTCGACTTACTCTTAACACCCCTAGTAGTTGCAGGCATCCATAGGCTACAGTGATCGTTTACCATTAGATTATAGGCTTGTTTGTTACTTTCTTAGTATAAAAAACTGGCATAATCATATTTAACAAAAAAATAAGTTTTTACAATAATATTCTTTAAAAACACTGAAACTTGTATCAAATAGATATTTGTACAAAAATCTGGATGTGTGTCACAGACGGGTTTCTAATTTCAAATGTTTGTATGGTTTTATTTTGATCTAAACGGTGAAATATGCCTGTAAAATTATAGTTACGATAATACACTGTGATTTTTACATATTATCCCAAATATATATTCCAAACATGCGTGCGTTTTTCAAGGCATTTTTCCACGCATAACCACTCTTTGGAACTTCCAGCAGCAGTATTTCTGAACCGATACGACAACATAACCTTTAGTGTTGTGATCATGGGTGATCAAGGTTATCATGGGCGGCGGTAGTCACTTACCATCAGATGAGCCGTATGCTCGTTTGCCCCGTGTTGTAAAAAAAAAACATTGGCGTATTTATAATTATTTAGGTAGCCTGGCCTCTAAAGGTGTGCGTATATGTACTCTCACACATGTATTAATGAAATTTTACTCAAATTCTAGTGGTCATCAGATGATTTTGGGGTGGGCACGACTCTTCTCTTAATACACCTATGATTCCTAAATACCTAAAGCTGATGATTAGCACTTAGAACTTTGATACGATACTATCCATTAGCTATGACGGGCAAAATATGACGATATGGCATGCAAAAGCAATTAAAATGATTACTTATTAACCATTCAATTTCACTCATTTATCTGTCAATCCATCAGAATTAAAATAAATTAAATTTGTGTTAAATGTTCGAGCTGTATTATTATTTGGCAGATTAATTATATTTGTAATGACTGATATTGTTAGAGGTCTGTTGTTACGTAACGGTGATATGTAAATACTGGTCGAAATAAAATTAAAAGAAACAAAATATATTTTGCATTTTTGTATCTGTACGTTTTTCTGTAATTGTATAATTTTTTTGTATTTTGTACCAGAGGCAGACTTTGTACAAAAGTCGTTTGCTTCACCTCTGTTCCATTCGTATTTCTACCGTGAAGCAGTTGTGTTTGCGTGGCTGTGTTTCGGTTTCGAATGGTGGGATATGGCAGTGAATTTACAGGGTATAGAGAAATAACACCTGAGTCCTCAGGGATGGCGCATGGGGAGGGGGGTATCATGGGCGAAACAGTGTACTCTGTTATATCCATGGTACTTTAATGGGTTTTCTACCACTGAAGCTATGAATTCTACCCCTTTCTTTCCTTTGGACATTGTAAGAGGCGACTAATGGAAATTTATGGTCGAGGGATGGGCATTAGTGTCCCTCTTAAAATATCACCAAAAGCCTAACTGCGATTGCCAATCTACATACCAAGTATGGCAACCACCTCACCTTCTTACAAAGATATCTATGTTCAGCAATGGACAGTTAAAGGCTGATGTGATGATGATGAAGCTACGAAATAGTGAATTAAAATGTAGAATGTTATGTTACTCCATAACGCTTTAATGGCTGTACAAATTTGCATGAAAATTAGTTCCCAGATGGAGCATATCCTTAATGAATACATAAAGTACTTTATAATTTAATTTACGCGAACAAACCTGCAAAATACAGCTACAAATGATATAAATTTTCATCACAGTCTAAAGTGATTTTAAGATAATTTGAAGTGATATTCACGTCTCGAAAGGTCGCATATTATTCTACATTTTTTTATACCACAAAAATGGCAAGCATATAACCAATTTGGGGGTCTACCATGAAATGAAATTCCGAATTTTCGGACTCAATTTCGTGTTTTTATTTATACCGAAATCGGCCCAGTAAATAGAACTTAACATTTCGTTTATCATAAATCCTACCATAAAACTCCAAAGGAATGACATTTTAACATTTTTAATATCTTTAAACTGTATTTATTATGTCATTTTAACATTATATTTGTATTTATTTTATTTGCCCGAAATTTCGGAAAACATTTCATGGTAGGCCCTCTGGTGGTAAGCGATCACTGTAGCCTATGAACGCCTTCAACTAGGAATACATATTGTGGTCTAAAAACCTCATCAGGTAGCTCATTCCAGTGCCTAAGCATTCGCGGGAGAAAATCTCTTCATAATTTCATCAAAATTGAACTTATATTATAACAATAAAAAGTAAATCAAGGAATCTTTCTATCGTTAATATTAATGGCACTTTTTCCTCATGGATTGGCCGCTTTTTTTTTTATTATAGAAAGACCAAATCTTCCATCACAGTTAATACAATCGTAAGTGTAATTTCTTTTCATTACAACAAAGTGAAACTAATTTTATGTACGTACATAGGAAAATACAACAACATGACACATAAAATATTTACAACTCACCCCACAATGAGATCACGTTCGTTGTGTGATAGTAACAACATTGAATTCAAAGTAATGAGACACCACGAGAGCTCGAATGAGATCCGGCATTCATTACGCATTCAGTTGAGAATAACTTGATTTGGCGTTCAACTTTGCTGATTATCTTTTTAACCGACATCAAAAGAAGGATTGGATAATTAGGAAGTAACCGGAGGGGGATTCTGTGTACAAAAGTCATTTGCATGGGTATCTCTGACCCACTCATGTTTTTGCCATAGAGCAGTTATGCTTGCATGGCTATTTCGATTTGTAGGATACAAAACAGATATAGAAACATACCATTTTTGTTTTCGGAAATGGTAACGCATAAATGGTACTATGGGATCAAAATGCCTTCTCCAATGTGTATGGTGTGATTATTACCTTATTAGACACAGGCAAAACGTTTTATTTTTTTTAACCAACTTCAAAAAGAGGATTATAGAAGATATATATATATATATAGTATTATAATAAAAACAAAATGTTCATAAGGATAGAAGATTCTTTTTAGTTCTATTCTTCTTTTTAAATAAAGAAAAAAAAAACACTTATGAGTTTTTCCACCAAAGTTTACATTGTTTATTAGCAATATTAAAAATAAATATCTCTAGATACAGTACAATAATACATTTAAAAATATTCACAGGCCTCGCCACAAAGAAACGACATTTGTTGCGAAACAGAAACATCGTCGAATTCGACATAATTGGGAGTAAGAAATTACAGGGCTTCTCAAATGCGATTCCTGTGTTCATTTCATATTCAATTTAATGATAATTGATTTGATTCAAATTGATATTACTGGGGGCCTACCTATGAAATGAAATTCCGAATTTTCGGGCTCAATTTCGTGTTTTTGTTCGTACCGAAATCGACCCAGTAAATGGAGCTTAACGTTTCATTCATCATAAATCCTATCCTAATAGTCCAGAGGAACGATATTTTAATATTTTTAATAAGTTTAAACGGCATGTATTATGTAATTTTAATATCAAATTTCTATTTCGTTCGTCCCCGAAATTTCGGAAAATATTTCATGGTAGGCGCTCTGATTATATTTTCTACAAATTCCGTATTCAATTGGCAGAGATGGATTTCTTATCTGTTCCTTCGATTTTTTTTAGTACCGGTACTGTGGATTTTTTTACTGTATCAATCAGTCTTTATTATTTGCAGCCATCATATCAATTTTTAACTGTCCACTGTTCAACATAAGCTTCCCCTTGGAGGGTTTTGCCAGTAGTTGGCACGCTTGGCAGACGGATCGGAACCGCAGTTAGGCTTTAGTGATGTTTTAAGAAGGAGTATGCTCTTCTCTTAGTCTCTTACGGCACCCACAGGAAAGGAGAGATGGCCTATTCTATTCCGAGACCTACACGACGGTTATATAATATGTAAGTTTCAGTTACAGTTTGCAAAAGGTCAACTTTATTTTTAAATTTATTCTAACGCAAATGTAATCCAGCTATTTATTATGTAATCCATTTCAGTTGAAGCACTGAGATCCTCGGGTCAGGCCGAAGCCTCCAGTAATGCCTAGAGATAATTAAGAGACACCCTCTATTGTACGAATAGGTCCTTTGTTTCGACGAGATTAAAAAAAAAAAACAACAACAAAAGTGAGGATCATCCTATTTAAATCCCTCGTTGATATCATCTGTTTTTCACACTTTTGCTCGCAATTTTTATATAATCGCACAGAGTAATAACAAGGCTTCTGGGGATAAAAGTTTGCTTTTTTCTTACAATAATTTAATTCAAGCGACATTTTTATTTCGTTTCATTGTTTCGCTAACTGAAAAAAAGAATTTATGATTGTGTGGTCTAAACGGTTTTGTGAATAAATTGGATGTTTTTAGATTAATCTGCAGCGCAAATGGCTGCATAGCGACAGTTTTCCATTAATTTCCTTTTATGCAACTTAGATTGACAAACAAGCTGACGGCCTCCCTAATGGAAAGTAATAACCGTCGCCTATAGACATGAGCAGTACCATGGACATAACAGAGTATACTGTCTCGCCCATAATAATCATCATGCGTTGCCATTTCTGATACCCTGTAAATTCACTGCCATATTCCACCCTTAAAATCGAAAAACAGCCATGCAAACACAACTGCTTCACGGTTAAAACACGAATAGGACAGAGGTATTCAATCAAGCGACTTGTACAAAGTCTCCCTCTGGTAAATATAGCAATTGTAAAATATTAAAATTGCGAATATTTGTAACGATGAATGGATGTTTGCTACTTTTTCACACAAAAACTACTAAACGGATTTAAATAAAATTTACTATGTAGGTAGTTTATACTTAACTTAGTACATGTTTGTAATATATGCTGGTTCTTGTTTTGTATATGTTATTTATTAATTATATATTAGTTGTAAAATAAAATTACCGTCTGTTGACTTGAAGTATTATCTGTATTTTTTTTTGTTCTTTTTCAATTGTTTATAAATATTCTTTTTTATAAAAAAACTACAATTGTCGATATATAAAAAGGTTAATTTTGAACAGATAATTTACATACTAATTCACATGGCTGAAGTGCTCGGGATACAACTAGTAAAATAAATTTAGTAACCATAAGTATAAAAAAACGTATTATAATATATTATATTACAATATATTATAACATACATTCTTTATTTATGCCACAAAAATAAACAATAAAACACTTGCAAAAATTACATCCCTTTGTCACGTTCACTATTTATGTTAACACAACGCGTAAAAACTACGCAGTTTTTACGTGCACAAATTCTTATGTACGTAAGGTTTTATGTGCGTAAATTCTTATGTGCGTAAAGTTTTACGTGCGTAAATTCTTATGTGCGTAAGGTTTTACGTGCGTAAAATCTTAATAACGATTAAGGTTAGTTTAAAACATGATTGTAATTATTGGTCATTCTTAATAATATGCCAAACTAGAATTTATTAATTAGAAACCAATCCGTATCTTATTATTATTTACTTATTTATCAATAAAAGTACCTGTAACCGGCGAGCGTGTATGAAAAGATTGATGAATGTGGAAGAAGCGAAAGAGGTTTGTTTGAATCGAAGCATTTGGCGTTCCATTGTTTCTGCCTACCCTAATGGGAGACAGGCGTGACAGATATGTATGTATTATTTATCAATTTCCAACACGGAAAGGCATCATACCATAATGTCAAGAGTGAGGAGGAATTAAGAAGTGCCATTAATAACACATAAGTATTTTATGTCTATGATATTTTTCGTTTCTGTAAACATCATCGGGTGTTTTTTTATTTTATCTTGAAAACAGGTGATTGCTTTCATCATTCCTTAGCTAGCTAGCTAGCTAGCTTAGGTTTTGTTACTAGCTATAGCTAGTAACAAAACCCCCCTTATGGAGGAGGACTATGTTCAGCAGTGGACAGTTAACGGCCGATATCGTGATGGTGATTAATACCGATGGTGTAAACAGGATTTCAGTTCCATTGAAAACATGCACGTGTATATATATATATATATATATATATATATATATATATATATATATATATATATATATATATATATATATATATATATATATATATAGTATATAAGTGTATATAATGAGTAGGGATATATATTTTATATTACATGAATCTCTCCATATTAAGAAATAATAGAATTTCATCGTGCCTCCGATCAAACTGTTTATAATTACTCCTTTCCATCCAAAGGTTGGCTGGAAGAGATCGCTCTAAGATATAAGGTCGCCCATTGTTTTCTCATTGTGATTATTTCTTGTAATTGTTTATATTTATAATAAGTTTACTATTGTAATCTTTTGGAGGAAACAATAAGGAGTATTTATCTATCTATCTATCTAAAGCCTTTTTGTCAGACATCAACATTTAGATTATAGATCGTAAATGTTATTTACACTATCGTAATTCGTGACCCTGTGTGCCTCTCGACGTGACCCGTTTATATCACGCTCGCAGTAAATTCCAGAAGGCAAAGGAAGAGGCGTGGAAGGTCATAAATTGCTTGCTAAATTGTGACAGTGGCGGTATGGAGTTGGTAACACCGCAAATTAAAACATTTTAGTTTTATTTTTAGAACATTCTAAATTTAAAAAGATTTATTTGCGTATGCAAATGATGTCTCATTTTAACTTAAAGCCCTGTTTTAAAATCCGTGTGGTCGCGATATAGAATAGGCCAACCCTTCCTTTCCCATGGGTGTAGTAAGAGCCGACTAAGGGACCTTATGGTGGAGAGATGGGCTGCGGCGTCCCTCTTAAAACTTAAAACATTTCTAAAAGCCTAACTGCGGTTGCCAACCCGCCTGCTAAGCGTGGCAACTACTAGCAAAACTCCCCTTATAGGGAAGGTTTATGTTCAGCAGTGGACAGTTAACGGCTAAAATAATAATAACAAAACTATTGGACATTAACAGACTATCTTACACTTGGATAAATTATCTGTTTGTTTACATTTTCATTGAGTTCTATTGAAAGAATCTTAATTGGTTTCAGGACGGGACCTTCTCCCTGGCTGATTTCACGGATGCATACCAAGAAAATGAGGTACAGCGCGTCATTCGCGCCTATGAGAATTCCATATCGATTGACATACACTGCTCGACCAGTGGCGGCGGGGAGTGGGCTAAACTCCCAGACATGCCCTTCGTCAAATACTGCAAGATTAGGGTCAACCCCACGGACATACTCGACTCTGGCTCACAAGCCATCAAGGACTTTATTGGTGAGTACTTAAGTTTTAATTATAAAATTATATACAGGGTGTCCGATAATGAATGGATAATCTTGAAACGTCTTATAGTTCAACATATGGCCGTCCTAAAAAAAAATACGAAACAAAATATATCATAAGTAGTACCTTTGTTATCTTTGTTTTAAAGAAAAGTCAATTTTTTTCTACCTTATTTTACTGTCCTGATCACTATGACCAGAAATGAATGAATTCTATTGGTTTTTTTTTGTTGTTTTATTATTATACACTAACTGTGTCGATAGATAGAAAGTGAACAGTATCTGACTAGCTATTGCAGTTTTTTTTTTAATACGCAAACTAATTTATTTTTGTAAAATATGCAAAAAAAAATTTTTAAGCAAAGTTCAAACCTCTTGGCTATAAAAAAAATTATGAATACATGGGTGACCAATAATTTTAAAATAATGTCTGTTTCAAGTAGATTTTACAATGGTACAATTCATAACTGTATCTATCATAAATAGTGACTTATTGCCATTAATGTGGAAAAGGAGAAAATTTGACTAAATAACAAAATTTGTAATATGGGAACATTTTTTAAATTAAATTGTATCTCATCATTGGGGAATAATAAAAAACAACATTTAATATTCAAATTAAGTTATTTTACATAAATTTACAATAAATGCTCAAATTGTTTTCCTCCCACTCTTATGCATGCCCTGCATCTTCGGATAAATGCTACCAGACCACCAGAGGGAGACTTTGTACAAAAGTCGATTGCTTGGGTACCTCTGTCCCATTCGTGTTTCAACCGTGAAGCAGTTGTGTTTGCATGGCTGTGTTTCGGCTTGAAGGGTGGGATATGGCGTGAATTTACTGGGTACAGAGGAATAACACCTGAGTCCTCAGGAATGGCAACGCATGGAGGTATTATGGGCGTAACAGTATACTCTGTTCTGTCCATGGTACTGCTCATGTCTATAGGCGACGGTTACCACTTTCCATCAGGTGGGCCGTCAGCTAGTTTGCCATTCTAAGTTGTATAAAAAAAAATGCTCTTCTGAGCAGTCTTGTGTACTATCGCTCGTTTACTTTCGATGCGGCTGCTCTGACACGACTGCGTAATTCGTCCAAAGACTGTATAGGCTTACGGTACACTTCCTCTTTGAGGCAGCCCCAGTAAAAAAAAAATCCAATGGATTTAAATCCAGTGAACGTGGAGGCCACAGAATTGGCCCTAGGCGCCCGAGCCATCTGTTTGGATTCCTTCTATTTAAATATACACGAACCGGTACAGCATAATGCGCAGGATAACCGTCATTCTGCAGCCAATACGATTCCTTCAGCTCCTCGGAAACCTCTTCTAATAAATTGGGGAGATCATTCTGAAGAAACTCCAAATAGCTTTGCCCTGTTAAATTCCCCGGTAATTCAAATGGGCCAATTATCATACCATTTAATATTCCGGTCCAATGATTTATTTTAAATTGGTATTATTGTCATGTTGTAACAGTATAGGTCTTAAGCTATTTATTAAAGGTAAACAATCAACATGAAGCCTGGAAGGGCACTCACATTAACAAATATTACATGAAATACATAGCTACATTTTTAATATAAAAATGTAGCTTCATGCATGTAGATACATGCATAGTGGATTAATACAAAATAAATAAAACATTATTATATTCAAACAAAACAAACAGGTACAAATACTCCTTGTATACTGTGCGCAATAAAGAGTTTATTATTATTATTATTATTACAAATACAATTAAATTAAATTAAATTAAATTGAAATTTTCAAATATACACATTTATTTATTTATTTATTTATTCTTGTTACGCCGTTCAAGAAATAATACAAAATTATACGCGTCTTTTTCGAAGACTAAACAAATCATGTGTAAATAATTTAAATTGATAATAATGATAATAATATAGATTGAATATAAGCATAAATGATTCAGTCAGTCGAATTTAGGTCACAAATATGGCGCGTAGCCGCACAAAATAGGATGATCAATACGCGTGACCTGCTGCCTACTTGTAGACCTACAAAATAAACATTTAATTTTATGGAAGTTTGATGGGGCGTTGTATGGGCGTTGGTACTTTAGTGTGACAACGGTTCATTAAATCGTCAGTTAAAAAAAAGTAAAACATGAACAATTTTCAATGTTTTTGAATGATTTTTCGAAGAAGTGTATTTTGCTTCGAATGTTAGTTATATAGTTTGGTCGTGACAATGTTTCAATTTTTTTTTTCATTTTTTTTTGTACGAATATGAATACATACATTAGATGAAAATATTTTAATATTAATTGTGACTTACTATTCTTATTTTAAAATAAAAAAAAAATATCACCGAACAAATGGAATTTTCTTAGATAAAGTACATTTGAAGTTTTAAAATTTAGAACACCGTTTTTAAATTTAGAATTCCGTGTGAGAAACAAAGGGTAAATTTTGCTGCAAACAGGATTTTATTTTGAAATAAGTGCTAGGAAAAACGGCAGCTTTGATAACAACTGTGCCGATTTTAAAAACAAATGTAAATAAAACTCAAAATTGGCGACACAGTCGCACAACATAGTCACAAAAAAAAATCAAACTAATTGAGAACTTCTTTTGAAAGTCACTTAATACGCTGACAATTTTCTAAATAACAAAAATAGATATCATTGTTAAAAGTTTCGTATGTTAACATTATATTACATTTTAATGTAAGAACTAAGGATCCTGGATGATCACGATTAAGGGTCCTGGATAGGCCTAAAACTATCTCGCCTAAAATACACGTAAATTAATCCATGTGTTTTTATAATAAAACAAAATTAAAATATAGACAGATTTCTAAATAATATGAGTAAATTCCTAAATAACATAAATAAATTCCTAAATAACATAAATAAATTCCTAAATAACATAAATAAATTCCTAAATAACATGGATAGATTCCTAAATAACTTTCACAACTGGATTGCTAGGCTGCTATTTGCAAGGGAGGTTTTATTGAATCTCGCATTTGATAGGAATCCGATACCGGCTATCATTGGATTTTCACACTATCGAGCAACGAAATAATCTTATTTAGGAATCTGTATCTATAAATAAAACTGAGCTATACACGTATATTTAGAATATAACAGAAATATAAATTTAAATTGTTATAAAAAAATCAAATCAGTTAATGACTGTATTTATAAGAGACTGAGCATATAAGTTATATTGTAAAAAAACTGTGGATTTTTGTATTCAAGTAAAAAGAAATAAAATTAAATAAATATATAACTATGAGCATTAAGAAGAAGAAAAATAAATAACAGAGAACCAGCAGCGACTTGGTAACAGATATTTAAAAAGGATTTAAGGAAAAAGTTGCAAATTGAACACCCATTATGACGTCTGATTTTTAGTCCTAAAAAAGTCTAAGAGAGTTAATAAGTCTAAAAAACGTGACACACTGCATGAGAGAAGAAGAAGAATAGTAAGAAAAATGGGAGTAGAATAATATTTTATAGCACAAAGATGGCAAATAAGCATATAGTCTTATGATAAACGGTCACTGTAGTCTATGGATGCCTGCAACACCAGAAATGTCACGTGAAGCCGACTTGAATATTATCTTTATTTTAACCTTTTAACTGCTCCCATTCGTGTTTCTACCGTGAAGCAGTTGTGTTTGCATGGCTGTGTTTCGGTTTGAAGGGTGGGATATTGTAGTGAATTTACAGGGTACAGAGGAATAACACCTGAGTCCTCAGGAATGGCAACGCATGAGGGGTATCATGGGCGGAACAGTATACTCTGTTATGTCCATGGTACTGCTCATGTCTGTAGGCGACGGTTACCACTTTCCATCAGATGAGCTGATTACCGTCAGCTTCTAAGTTGCATAAAATAAAGTATTATTTAAATTTTTTCATACTCATACCGTCCCTATCGAATATTACTGACAGTGAACATATGTTTGTATATTTTTCCTCCCTTTATACACATTACATGAATACAATAATGAAATAGTAGCAAAATATAGAGCAAAATTTTATACAATATTTTTAAGTTACTTGTCATAGTCAGAGATATTTAAAAATAAAGTAAATACAATACTAAATTACTGATTTGAATCAAGCGCTTAGGGCACGCAAGTAATATAAAGTCAAACAGTCCAAATTTAAAAAAAAAACTAAATATAAATAATACAAAAACAGAAAAACTTTACTACTACTAAAAAATTTATTCTTAATATGTACTTATTTTATCCACCATTCTAAAAATATTAATTGGACTATTTCCAATATTTAAAAAAAATTTTCAATTAGACGTTCTCGAATGGTTGCATTATTAAATCAGCCGTTAACTGTCCACTGCTGAACATAGCCTCTCCCATAAGGGAGGCTCTTGGCAGCAATTGCCACGCTTGGCAGGTAGGTTGGCAACCGCAGTTTGGCTTTTAGAGATCTTTTAAGAGGTACACTGTTCTGCCCTCCCTCTACTATTAAATTTATTATATATATATAATAAATTTGTCACCTCTAAAAATTATTTTATATACCGATTTGAAATAATAATGTATCCTATCACTATCCAATTATCCACATGTGCAGAAAATATACCAATGTATGCAAGGAGCTTGATATTTTCCAACAATCCTTGCAATGTTACATTAAGACTGCCAATTTGTTACTTTAAATTTATAGCCATTATTCTTTGAATGTATATAATATCGAATGTTATGCAGATCAGTTATTGGAGAGCAAATTTGATGCTGTTTTATGTAATATTTATTTAATTAATGTATTAATTTGTAATCTGTTGCCTTACTATAAATAAATAGGAAAGGAAGGTGTGGGTGGTGGTATTCTACGCTGGGACCACACGAAAAGTTCTCGAGTTGTACGTGTTTAAAATAAATAGAATTTAATTTTAATTTATCCATAGAGATATATCTACAAGTATATTGTATTTTCCACACGGATGGAGCCTTATGAACAAGCAGTCACTTGCAGTTAATAGAAGCGCAG